CAAGAGACAAACTCATTTATAGTGATATTTATATTTTTAACTAAAAAAGGAAAAAAATACAAACTTATTTCCCAACAATTAACTAAAGTGGCTATTTGCCCAATAACCGTAAAAAATAATAATTAAATGAATAACCAAAAATCATGAATATAATGGTTGTGATTGTGTCACAGCTATTTGGTTATTTGCTTCTTTTTTTCTTTGGTTGTTGGGCAAATTAATTAACCTACTAACTAATACATATCGGGCTTTTCTGCTTTCGAAAGAAAGATAAGTTTTACACATGTAAAGTGATATTAGGTGACTGACCCGCACCTTGTGCGGCCATGAAATTTTTATGAAAATAAGTTAATTCTAATATTTAATAACCTAATTTTACAATTTATAANGAAATAGATCGAACAATAAATTTTGTGGAAACATTAAAGGTTTTGTGTTATTAAATTTTGTGGAAAAATAGATCCTGAATTTNNGAACCCTAAACCAGATTTAGATTAAACAATAGTTAAATATAAATTAAGTTACGTAGTAATTTTTTGTTAAATATTTAGATTTACTTACATATCATTAGAGAAACTTAAATCTGAAATTTTATAGTTGTGGACATGTGGTGAATCATTGTACCATAGTATCTGCATAGTAATAAAATGAGTTTAATATTTTATGAAACACGAAATATGTAACATTATATTTGAAACATGATATGGACATATAAACGGGATATTATGCTAATGATTAGAGACTGATTCAATTCTCCATGTAAACATTTGAAAAAGCTTGAGAAATGATATAGTTTATGTAATACCTTTACACAAACTCGCCATGTATTTTTGGTGTTCTTTACATCGGCAACATTAATTTTTGAAACTGAAAATATACCATTAGAGAATGTGAAAGAAAAATAAAAATATTTTGGTGTATGTTGAGTTTCATCTTGTCAATGGTGTAGAATTCTGTTTATAACGATCTAAGTAAAATTCAACTGTTAGAGAATATTTTGTCAAAGATTTATGGTANAAAATCACAATGTAAAAAGCAATAATTAAATCAAAAGGTTTGACAAATCCACCTGAACAACAACAGTTATCAGATGGTATATTCTAAAAAGATGATAAACTACGTCAATCCGGTTACTAATGTGCTCAATTATTAATCGGTTAGTTATGGATAGATGCTGGGTATATTCTAAATGAGTAACAAAACCAACTTTAACCAGACCGTGACGCAAAACCAAGTAAGCTAATTATATGACTGATAACCGGCATTTGATTAAAAACCAAGTTAACCANAACAGTTTTTGATTATCCGTTNAAACCATAATCTAATCTATCCGACACAATCTTTTATATAAAATTTAGTATAACACTAAGTGAATATAAAATGCGTATAATATTGCTTTGTTTGATAAAATCGTTGATAAGATTTTCAATTTTTTTTTATTGGTTGTTAATGTTTTCTTAAAGTCCGAAATTGGTTGTCGGTTAAAAAAAAAGATTCGAAAATTGTTAATTG